AGGCCTTCCGGCCGTGAGAGTTTACTGTGTCTTTCTATCGCCGCCGGTTCGCGGAATATTCGGGGCTAAATATTTTAAGAAAATTTTCAAATTCTATGAAAATTATTAACAATTTCAATATTGAGTATCTCGGGATAGACGAGTGATATGGAAAAAAATAATGAAGGATTATCAAAGAAGATCAATGCGGATGGGTTTTTATACATTTTATTTTTTTTTCAAACTGTACAATGAAATTGTCCATTGACATGTGTCGGTTCAAATGCTTCGTTTTATTAATAAGCAATTTCGTGAGTGAATTCCCATAATTGAGCGGTCTCTTCGTCGACAGGTGAATTTTTCAACTGCTCCTGCTGCTTTTCCAGCGAGACTAATGGGATATTTTTTTCATCAGATGTAGGCGGTTCATCATAATCAGTTCCATTGTGATATTTATAAGATCTAGTCAGCATTGCAAATAACAAAAAGTCCAGAGCTGTCAAACCAGCGAAGAAGAAGAACTCGGATACCTATAAACGAGTCATTAAAATAATTCAATATATCGATGTCAGAATATCTGGAACAGCTGGATAGATTTCCCAATAGATTTTCCAAAAATCTGTGTCCTCACCTGTTGCTCGAAGAATTTCGCTTCAGCAATGATCACAACAATGACATTCCCAAAGGCTACAGTGAATAACCAAGAAGCTTGTAGAAAAGACTTCATAGAGCTTGGTGCTTGCTTGAATGCAAATTCGAGTCCAGTTACGCAAAACATGACTTCGGCTAAAGCAATAGTTATGTACTGAGGTAGAAGCCACAAGATATGAACGGAATTAGACGGCGTTACAGTTACCAGAGAAATTTTTACACTATCCAGTGTGACATACGTTTGCAGAGTATATACACCCCCAATTTTAATATCTATCCTACCGGCATCTTTCCCATTAACTTTAATACTATATTTCCCCGGACTGAATTCCTTCAATGGCGTTATTTGAGTTGCATGGAATTTCGTCCTTTTTGTTTGGAAAACATGATGTGTTCCTGATAATTCAACTTCTGTTACTGCATCTGGTTGTAGAGTATTGTAACTTAGTACTCGAATCGCAGGATTTCCACTTTCACTTTTATTTATGTGATCCTTGTAGGCGTACGGAAAGGAAGGCTCAATTACATATGACGTTGCTTGTTTTTCGACAGCTGTAATGAATCCATTAGCCTCTTCTGTTCCACCGCACTCTGAGAAATTAGCAAAATATGGAATTGATTGATTTCCTGTGATTTTTACGTTGTGATCTTCCCAAAGGGCGAAAGGCTCCATCAATATGGATTGATTATTCATTAGAA